TAAAAAAAAAACTACAAGAAACCTGACTGCTGGTTCCTGTGGCAGAACAATTCGTCTAGATGTGATTAAACCAGTCTTTTATGAATGGGTAATTCTCTCTGTAATACCAGTGACCCTCAGAAAAAGCTACATATTTCTACTAATACACAGCAGTCTAATCTGACATAAAATCAACAGCAAATTCCTATGGATGGATCGGGCTCCGCTGCCTACAACGTTTTCAATCAATAACATAGATAAATAGGTACATAAGCTGAGTTGCACTTTAGTCATGGTAGTTTCCGGATTGTGCTTAAGATCCAATGTATTGTAATCCGTGTTTCCCCCCCAGGAATCCAAGTGCTTCAAATTCCAGAAGATACCCAATAATTTCTACGGAGTGCATACTTAGACAAGGAACGCTTCTAGCAGAGTCCACAGAGCCTCGAGAGAAAAGCAGCTAAAGCCCTTTTCCTTGCTAACGTCTTTTCCCGTGATGTCACGTACTACTCATGAAGGCTCGCCCAGATTATCACTACTGGAAAACAGAGGAAACATTTTCATTTCATTAACACTACTTAACCCAGTGGTGTCTAATCTTTGTATTAGTCAATCCATATAAAGAATATTTTGGATATACATAATGAATATGTGTGTTTATTTATAAATGATATATATATATATATTAGTACTGCGCTATTTTATTGTGTAGATTGTCAAATATACACAAAAGTAGAAATGGTAAGTGAATAATGCCTTTAAACACGATAGACTAAATTGCTCACATTTTTTTCTTTACTTCGGTGGCTCATTTAGAGAAAATTGCTTTTGAGATCCTCCTTCTTGAGGGCCAATACATAATGTATCTTCATTTCAGGGTTGTTAAAATATTGTGAGACGGCATGTGTGGGTCAAATGACATCGTCAGAGGACCCTGTGATGACCTCCGAGAATAAAGAAAGGCGAGCACCCACCCTGGTCTGATTCCGACGTGTAGCAAATCTATACAGGGTTTCCGCGGCTGTGACTTTTTACAGGCTCGGAAAGCCTCATGCTTTTCCAACGGAGCCACTAGTGGTCTTGAACTGCTGACTTGGTGGTTAGTAGCCCAAAGCATAACCCACTGTGTCGCCAGGGCTCTCTGACAGACCATGTAAGTCTTTGCAGTCAAGACGACTGGATTGTATGCTGAGCAGTCAATGGTTATATGTATTTAAGAGCTTACTTGGGCTGCTCTAAGAAGAGACTGTAGCGTGCACAAGGGAGAGCAGGGCCAAGGCCATTCAGGAGGCTACTGCAATGGGCCAGGTGCCAGCTACTCGGCTCAGACTATGGAGGTAGCACAGGAGATGAAAAGAAATCAATGGATTCAAGATGTATGTTGGTGGTAACACCAATAATACTTCTAAACAGGCACGGTACTTGGAATATGTTATCTGGAAAGATCAGTCCCTGGGGAAGGACATCATGCTTGATAAAGTAGAGGGCAGCCAAAAGAGGAAGGAGCTCAATGAGATAAACTGACATGCGGCTGCAACAATGGGCTCCAACATGGGACAACTGTGAGGACGGGCAGGACCCCGCAGCGGTTTGTTCCCTTGTCTACAGGGTCTCTGTGCGTTGGAGCTGACTCGCCAGCACCTCACAAAGTGTGACCATTACTTTGAAGTTCCGCATATCTTACCACCTAAGAAACTGAATGTACTGTAATTGTCAGTCAGTCATACTGGGTCCCATTGGGTAACCATTTAAAGAGATATCAAAGATGTGTCCTTGATTTTAATCTTGAAGGTGGGGAGGACCAGTGATAATACAGGTGTGGGAATTCAAATCAAAGTTCTGTTAGAAACACATCAAGTTGGGGAAGACTGTTAGATAGTGAAGGGAGATGTCAAAAAGGCAGGTGGATATGAGGCTATTGCTCTAATTTAGAGAATTATCTACATCCTAATGATATCTAAAGCCATGAAATTAAATTATATCACTTAGGAAAGAAAAGTAGATTACAGGACATAAATTAGAAGCCTCTGGATCCATCGGCTGGTCCACAGACATGTTTATATTATTATTATTAGTAGTAGTATTTTTGGTCTCTACATATTTAGTAACTTGTGCCAGACTTTCAAGTTGGTAGACTGCACTTAAAAAAATGTACATTCTAAGTCTCTCTAAAGAAATGGACGCCAATCTGGTGACACTTGGCTTGAACTGTATGGCAGCATCTTCATGTATATGTGGCATGAGCTCTCTAATTCATCATGTCTTTTCAGTATGAGGCCAACAATCATTTGGCACCATACTGTTTTTAAGATACAAATAAATATTTATTGAGATCCATATCTTTATCAAAATTGGAAAATAGGAGTTAAAGGTCTTGTGTTTAAAGAAGCATGGAAAGGAATATATTTTTCAGTGAAATATAAGAATATTCCTATGTACTCAAAAATACAAATAAGCATTCTACATCATTCATCTACATCATCTGCCTAGGCCTTAAAGATATCTAAGTTTGCAATCCCTGGGGTGGATACAGAAGGGATTACCTCTGAGAGACACTTCAATATCTAGATATAAGGCAGATGAAGATTCAAAAAGGGAGAAAGAGAAAGGGGCAGAGAGATAATAATGTATGAAGACTTTAAAGCCAAGATGTGACTATTTTGAGTAAGAAGTGTATAGATGCTTTTGAAGCCAGAATAATATAAGCCCAAATAAGTGTCTATTGGATTCAGAACCAAGAAAGCTATCCCCTGGATTTGGTTCTGGAGTGCAATATAGACCCACGTTGTTGCTGGTGTTAGGCGCCATGGTGTTGGTTCTGACTCACAGCGATCCTGTGCACAACAGAGGGAAACACTGCCTGGCCCCTCCCCATCCTCACAATTGTTACGCCTGAGCTCCTAACAATGGACGCCACGGTGCCAATCCATCTCATTGGGGGCTTTTCTCTTTTGGGGCTGACCCTGTACTTCACCAAGAAGGAGATCGTTTTAGAGGGACGTGCTTCCTCTCACAGCATGGTCAAAGTGCAGGAGCGGACGTCTCTCATCCTGCTTCCAAGGAACCTTCCAGCTGTACTTGTTCCGAGAGAGAGGTGTAATTGTTCTTCTGACCGTTCCTAGTACTTGCAATGTTCTTGCCAATCTAACTGTATGTCAAAGCGGGGCTAAAGGTGGTTCAACAGTTGGCTGGATGCATCTTTACAAATGCCCGTGAGGACGGGGGCCGCTCGCTCCCTATTACAGACAAAGTGGACAACATAAACTAAGTGATAGAAATGGAACTCACCCAGGTCTCCCCTGACTCCACAATCCATGATCTTAAGCATTCCACTATCCTCAGGGCGGCAGCAGCTTCCTTCCCTAAAATTGACTTGTAAGCAAGTCAAGAATGAGCTAATTTTATTTTAATCTTATTCTCTGCTTGACCATTCAAGGCCCCTCACTGAAAAAGCAAAAATGTGTATTGGTGCTTTTTGACTTACCCACTCACAGTCAATTCCAAGCACCGGCGAGTCCTCTAACTCCCGTCTAAGCCAGGGCTCAATCTGATCCCACTCTGCCTCCTGAGACACAGTCACTACTTTTGCGTGGAGAATCCTCTCCTCCCAGGAATCTTTGGGGGCATCAGAGTACAGCCCGGCCTCTTCTGGAGGGGGCAGCTCTCCAGTGCACGCTCCCTGCTGCTGCTGCTGCTGGGTCACACAGCGCCTTTTACTCCGCCTTCGTTGAATGCCTTTCCACAAGACAAACCCTCCCACAGCCACGCCCAGGAGAGCCGTCACCGTCCAGGCCACTGAGGGCTGTCGAGACATCTTTGACTTTCGGCTGCTCAGGAAAGCACATCACCAACCCCAGGATCTGCAAAACAAATGGCAGACATGTATTTATGTATTTGTATCACATAAACATATAGGGGAACAAGCTGTCCTCTCGAAAAGTGATCCGCTTACCACCCACACACCCACAGACTTTTGAAAAAGCAAAAAGGTTCTACTTCAATGTTTTTGCTTTTACACTCTCATCACTCCATCTCCAGCTCCATCCTCTCCGAGCAAACGCTTTCCTCTTCCGCCAGTCACCGCAGACCCCTTAGTCGTA